TGTGTGTGTGTGTGTGTGTGTGTGTGTGTGTGTGTGTGTGTGTGTGTGTGTGTGTGTGTGTTTGCGTTTACTAGTCCTTGGACTTTTGTGCTTAAGGCTGGTGCTCTACCGCTTGAACCTCAGTTTCAATTCCAGATTATTTGATAGTTAATTGGAGGTAAGAGTCTCATAGACTTTTCTGCTGCCTGGGCTAGTTTCAAACCATAATCCTCAGATCTCAGCCTCCTTAGTAGCTAAGATTACAGGTGTGAGCTACTGGTGCCCAGCTCACAGATTTAATTTTTGTATATATGTCAGAATAATATTCATCCCTTTAAGAAAGAATACTATGGATGTAACTTTCTAAGTGTTTACAATGTTTCACAGTAGGCATACTTTATTCTCACAGTATGAGAATAATCTTATTTAGTAGAAATCCGAAAGCAAAAGCGATACTTGACTGGCACCAGTGGCTCATGCCCACAATCCTATCTACTCAGGAGGCTAAGATCTGAAGATCATGGTCTGAAGCAAGCCCACCACCAAAAAGCCAGAAGTGGACTGTGCCTCAAATGGTGTTAGCCTTGAGCAAAAAAAAACCTCAGACACAGCATCAAGGCCTGAGTTCAAGTCCCAGGACCACCCCCTCCCCCTAAAAAAAGAAGAGGAATACTTGCTATAAAGCTGTTCTCAATCTTTTTACAAAAAATTGACCATAATTAGTCTCTTTTACCGGATTCTAGACATGATTTACAAAAACAGAGACAAGAATTTCACAGGCCTGGTTCTGAAAGCAATCAAGTAACTAATTAAACTTTGATAAAAATATTCAATACAACCTTATAAAAGAAGTTGGGAGCTTAGTTGGAAATTCAGATTTCTGGTCCCCTGTGGATTAGAACTTAAGAATCTCTAATTTTAACAAATTCCAAAATTACTACTATATTATCATCTCAGGGATATATTTGAAAATGATTGAATTAAAACAAGTCTACATCTGAGGTAAATAACTGTCAGGTCATCAAAGTACAATGTCACTAAGTGTTTATTTACTAGTAGCAAAGGAAACAGGTAAAGATTCAAAATTTGACAGCACCCAGGCCCAGAGATCAGGCCCCCGACTGGACCCAAAAAAGAAAAAGAACAAAGACAACAAAGTTTGCTGTCCACTTTATTAAAGAAAAACTAGACATGTTTTGCATATTTGATGTTCTTACTACATACTAGTATGAGAAATTATAATAAGAAACATCCCAACAGTCAAAATCCTTAAAAGATATGAGAATTGTTTCTATTTATCAGTAAACATTTTTCTGGTTTTTGGTTGTTTTTTTTTGGTTGGTCGTGGGGCTTGAACTCTGGGGCTCAGCGCTGTCCCTCAGCTCTTCAACTCAAGGCTAGCACTCTACCACTTGAGGTACAGCGCCACTTCCGGTTTTCTCGTGGTTTATTGGAGATAAAGTTTCATGGACTTTCTTGCCTGGGCTGGCTTTGAACCTGGATCCTCAGATCTCAGCCTCCTGAGTAATAGGATTACAGGCGTGAACCACCGGCACCCAGCTCCAGTAAACGTTTTTCTTAAGAGAAAGAATTAAATCTCTTCCCCCCAGAATAATTTGAGTTAGTATTCAAACCAGTTATGAAACTGGGATCAATGTTCAATGAACACAGTAGATTTTACTTCTTTGTAGATGGACCTAATCACCTTAGGAAAAGTAGTCCTTTCTCAATAAACACATACTATCTTCACCCTTTAAATTTTGTTTTTTTACCAGTCTTGGGCTTGAACAGTCCTAGGCACTGTCCCTGAGCTTCTTTTGCTCAAGGCTAGCACTCTACCACTAAAGCCAGTGCTACTTCCAGCTTTTTCTGTTTACATGGTACTAAGGAATTGAACCCAGGGCTTCATGCATCCTAGGCACGCACTCTACCACTAAGCCACATTTCCAGCCCCTGGATTTTTATATTTTAAAAACAAAATAAAACGTTGTATCTCATCTGAACTGTGCTAGTAAAAAAATAATAATCTGTCCATATCAAGGCCAAGCTAGGATTAGAATATAACTAATGAGTCCAGGCAAGTCTGGTACAGGTGGCTCATACCTGTAATCCTAGCTACTCAAGAGGATGATATATAATTATTGCAGTTTGAAGTCAGCCTAGAAAGTCCTTGAGACACTTATGTTCAATAAACTACAAAAAAGCAAAAGGTGTAGCTGTGATTCAAGTGGTAGAGTGCTAGTTTTGAGCAAAAAAAAAAAATTCTGGGACTAAAATTTAAAAATTAAAAAAAAAAATCCAGGCAGTTTAAAGTCTGGGGTTTGTTTTGGTTTAGTTTAGCTTTTTTTATTTTTTCCGATTACAACACAATTGCACAGGAAGCTTTGGGGGTAGCAATAGTTGCTTTTTTCTTTTTAGAGCCACAGATAAAATTTTAAGATATTGCTCCATTTCCTTTTAAATTTATTTATTTATGTAATTGTAAAAGTGATTATAAAAAGTCAAGTAATGAGTACATTTCTTTTTGAACAATGTCGCCTCTTCCCTCATTTTCTCCCAACAGGAAAGTACATGAGACTCTTATCTCCAATTAACCACCAGAAAAACAGAAGTGGCGCTGGGCTAAAGTGGTAAAGTGCTAGTTTTGAGCTGAAGAGCTCAGGGACAGCACACCCAGGTCCAGAGTTCAATACATATGTGTATATATGTAATGCCTGCCTTTAGATAGTAGAAAACTTGCCGGGCGCTGGTGGCTCAAGCCCCACGACCGACAAAAAAAAAAAAAAAAAGATAGTAGAAAACTCACAGGCAATCTGAGTAGTGACCTGTTCTTTCTCCAATTGCAACTGAGAGAGAAAAAAATCCCAAATTAGGATCTAGATACATCTGTAAAGTCTCAGAAATATAAATTCCCAAAATGACAAACCAGAGTTAACAACTCTAGTATCATTAAGTGGTAAGTTTTGCTTATAACAAGCTTCTGTTTCAGAAGCTTGTTAGGCAATAACTGTAGACCCACAATATTAGGAGGACACCTCTCAGAAAGTAATTAAACCCAAATATGAGTAGTTTCCTTATCTACTTCACAGCCAAAACCTTTCATTATTCCTTTAAAGAAAAAGACATTTTATAATGGGGTCACTTTTTAGCTCATCATTCCCTAAACTTCTGAAACCCAAATACCACTTTCAAAATTCTTAAATTTCCATAGAACCTGTACTACTATACTTTCCAAATATTGGTCTTTGAATTGACTTTTGCCCTATATTATTGGCAACAATATCTGTGAGGTGAGTTTTTAAATAGTAAGATTGTCTCCTAATTTGAAATCAAGTTTTCTTTCATTTAAATGTGTGCATGAAAATTTCTGGAGAGCTGTATTTTTTAAATGTCTTTGGCTTATCAAATTAGCTTACATAGGCAACAGTATCAAAGTCTAGGAAGCACTAACATATTATTTTATTAAAAGTATTAGTTAAGATCTGTTAGAATAACAAGGGGATTTAACTTGGGGATTTGACTGTGTAAATATGATGGACTGGGTAGGGGGAGATCGCTTTCTCTTAGTTGATTATATTAACTGTGACATACTGGGTGGGAAAAGATTTGGTGGAGAGAAGAAAGGGGGACCAAGAACAATCAGAATTATTTTGGTATTTTGCCTACGCCTTCTGTCTCTCTAGTATGATCCTCCTATCATTGGCATTTGCACTGCATAGTGTGTTTAAGACTCCACAATAGATTAGATTCACTTCTAGGAACATGGCACCCAACACATACACAAATGTGTTAGACCACAACACTTGTTCAGGACCACAAAATTAACACATCTTAGAGATGAGGAAACTAAGTCTCATTTCTTAAGTTCACATTGGTAATACATGGCACAACTAGCACTTAAGCCCCAAGTTTCTTTCATCTCTACATCACAGTGCTGTATCAGCCTCAAAAAGCAATAAGGGGAGATAAACAGTAATTCAGAATCTATCTAGCTACTAAGTTTTGAATAATACTTACATAAGTGTTTAAGTTGTAAGAGGAAGGCAGTTAAGAGAATCCCATTCTGCATGGGACCAGATTGTCCAGGTTCAAATCCAGGCTCTACCACTTCTCTCTCATATAAACTTGGGCAAGCTTTGCCTTACTAAACTTCAATTTCCACACCTGTAAACTATGGCAACTAATAATAGTTCCTCCTTCCCCCTCTCTGTCTCTCCCTCCCTCCCTCTCGCCTCCTCCCTCTATCCCTCTCCCTCTCCCCTCTTCTTTCTTTCTTTCTTTCTTTTCTTTTTTGTGCCTGTCCTGGGGCATGAACTCAGGGCCTGGGTGCTGTCCCTGAGCTGCTTTTGCTCAAGGCTAAAGTTCTACCACTTGAGCTACAGTGCCACTTCAGGCTTTTTCTGACTTTATTGGAGATAAAGGCACACAGACTTTCCTGCATGGGCTGGCTTCAAACCAAGATTCCCAGATCTCACCCTCCTGAGTAGCTAGGATTACATATGTGAGCCATCAGCACCTGGCCTCATTTTTTTTAAGATACTAAGAGCATCCACCTCATCTTGTAAAGCACCCTACATGCCCTGCAATGCACTAAAGATGATATATTATTCGATATTGCTATTTACTGACTATTCTTTATGGACCAGGCACTTTATACACATTACTTAGACCTTTCAAATAACCTTGGTATTATTGCTTCATTTTGCCTTTGAGGAAACTCAAGCCCAGAAAGTTTAAATAATCTGTTCAATCCCTAAACCAGTAAATAGGAAAATAAATTTAAGATTAATTCTAACAACCCTATAGAGACACTGCCTCTCAACATATCCAAACTTTTTACTCAAGTACATGGAGAGGAAGATCACAGACACTCCTTTAATAATACACAGCTCTCTCTCATATACCTACATAAAATATACTTAAAATTTACTTCATCACATACTATGGGGGAGGAGGGAGGCACTAAACTGATGTGATGGTTCTCAGTAGGAAATGTGTACACGTCTCATTTGGACGTAGTCACAAATGTCGACTCTGAACTTTCATGTACCAGAAATCATAGGTACCGCTTAAGGAACTGTTGCCAAATGCCTTACATTCTTGGCGTGTGAGTACAGAAGGTGGTACTGACTTTTAAGAAGTGGTTTTTCCAGCTATTCGCTGGGAATCTCATGTCCCTTTGGTGGCAGATACTGGTTCTGGGATGAACAGGCAGGCATATAGATAGGGAGGGGCTGGTTATGAAGCGGCCCCCCAGCCCCAGGTATGATACAAAGGAACCCAAGTAGCAGAAGGAAAAAAGTCTAAAACTGCTGTTGTTTCTCCCGTTCCCCCCTTCCCCCACCCCCCCGCCGCACAAGGATTCAGAACAGCTGGTGGCAGGTCTCCCCGTGGAGAGTTGTGCTGGCCGAGCTAATTGCTCTCGTCTCCCTTCTAACCACACGAAGTCTCAAAGTGCCACTAATAGGGCCTCCGAGGGTTTCTGAGCGCCGGCGCGGGCCAACCTCCGCTCCAGGCTCATTCAAACCCCACAAGACGCCAACTCCGGTCCTGCCCTGCCCGAGACAGGCAGGAAATGTCACCTGAAGCTCTCCGGGGCCACCTAGCAGCCTGGCTGGACCGGACATCCGGAGTCCCCGCCACCGCTCGGGAGCAGCCCGGGATGACCGCCCCTCCTCAGGAGCCTCCCCCTGGGCTGTGCTCACCCCGGCCAGGCCAGCCGAGGAGCAACCGCCGCCGCGCGGCCCACAGGTCCTCAGACCCGCGTTGAGGAGGACGGGGACGGGGTCCCTTTAACCCCCACATCCACCCCCGAGCTACGCGGCCTCACGACGCGGGGGGTCCCCGGCTCCCTTCCTCGGGCTCAGGCTCGGTTTCTGCCCCCAAGCAGGCCGTAGCAGAAGGCAGGAGGGTAAAGCAAGCGGCCCGGAAACCCCGAGCCAGGAGGGGACCAGGACTGAGGGGGCCGGGCCGGGCCGGGCCGTACCTGTCGCGCCAGGACCCGCCGCTCCGAGGGACGCGCCGCGCAGGGCCTTGTGGGCCGGGAGCACCCTCTTTGCGTGGTTGTCCCACTTCCAACGTGGCTAGCGCGGGCTGAGTCAAACCCCGCCCCTACTCGCTCTGGCCAATCGGGATCTGTGGGAAGCACACAATAACACGCCCACTTCCTGGGTCGCCTTCGTCCCGCCCCCTCCAGGAGGTATGGACGGCTTTGGAGGCACCTGCTCTGGGTGATGGCGTAGTCTTCTGGGGATAAGACTAAACTAAAGCTAATCTCCTCCGCCCACCGCCCGATGTCAGAAAGCAGTCTGTCTCTCTTACGAGGGCCTAAAGCAAGCAGGTATCCTTCTGGATATCTTCTATCAAGACGTGTAAATCAGACGTGAACTCCAGGGCCTTAATGGATTAATTTGCAGATAAAGGTCATCAAGGAAAGGAACTGACCCGCTTCCCCACACATACACCGACCCCACACACACACACAAGAAATTTAGCACGCAGAGACATGCCTGACGCTGACCCTATAGACCTTTCTAGTTTTTACGGGGTCATGTATTGTTAAACAAGCATTTATTAAATGTCTTCAAAGCGACAGGCTCCATGTTTGTTTACAGGAACAAACCTAACAGTCCACCAAGAGTGCAATAAGAGCAATAAACATTAAATCATATATTTTGGTGAGTGCTACTAAGAAAAAAATGTAAAGGATACAATGGTGGATTCATGTTGGAGTATCAGAGAAAAGCCCCCCTCCCCTCTCTTTCAGAAGAGCTTAAAACACTATGTATCAAAGGCATTTAAGAATGTTCCAGCTAAGGAAATCTTGTGTGTGAAGTTGGGCCTCAGAATAACTTGGAGTATTCTAAAACTTGAAAGTAAGTTGTGTGATTGGAATGTAGGGCAGAAACTTCAGGCTGTGATTAGACAGGGCTAGACCAGGCTTGCTCTCATTGGCCATTTTGTAAATTTCAAAGTATAATTTGAAAGCCATTCTAAGGTCAATGGTCTGCTAGTAAAGACTGTTAAGTAGAATCTGATTTACATATTTAAAAGCTCACTTGATTTTTTATGGCATAGATTGAGAGAGGGCAAAAAGGGTTACAGAAGACCACTTTGGATGCAGTTGCATTGGTCAAAGCAATAAATGATAGTGATATAAACTAGAGGAATAGCAGTAAAGAGGGAAGGAGATGGATAATTTGAAGATATGTATGAATCAGAGGTGGACTCCAGAGACTTAATGGACTAGTTTGCTGGTAAGGGTCAAAAAAAGACTATTATAAATGACCCCTTAAGCAACTAGATAGATTAAGAAGTCATTTACCGATTCAAAGATCCTATAAGGAAGAACAAATGGTTTGGGATATGATACATTTGAGATGCTTCTAAATGGAGATGTCAAGCAGTTTTAGATAATTATGTTTTGCATTCAGAAGAAAGATGTGAACTAATTATATAAATTTGGTGGTTGTTGAGTTAGCACAGAAATTTCATCCCAGATATACTACACATTCAACAAAAATGATCTTATACATTCACCAAAAAATTCATCCATATGCATATTCACAGGAAGAATTTTCATGTTCACATAATAGTAAAAAGTCTCATTTAAAATCTGTAGTAAATTGATTGGAAGAGGGCAAGAAGGCTTACTAAAAATCAATTTGGGGGGCAATTGCTTTGGTGATGGCAACAAATGATGATGGGTAATCTCAGTAAAGAAACAATGAGGTAGGTTCTTTGAAGATATATATAAATCAGAGGTAAACTCCAAGGGACTTTATAGATTGGTTTTCTAGGTATATACCCTAAGTATATGTATCCTAAGTACCTGTATATGTACCCTATATACTCTAAGTAATTTTTAGGAAAAAGAATAAATAATATACAACTATACACAAAGTATGAATGAATCTCACAATCACAAAACTGAGTGAAAAACACATGTACAATAGTCTACCTAGATGACATTGAAAACAAAAAATGCTATTTTATTTATAAAAGTGAGGATATTTCTTACCTCTAGGAAGTATCAGTATTAGAAATGGAACACTAACAACATTCTTGATCTGAAGGATGGTGTGTTCAATTAATAAAGATTCATCAAACTATATTTCTATATTTCATTATCCAATACAAAGTTTACATTTTTTAAATGTTAAGGTCATCCAATCATAACTAAGAAATCACTACCACACTGTCTCTTGCCATAAATAATAGAAAACATGATCTAGTCTATGAAACAAATGCTTTCAAGCACTGAGATGCAGATATAAGATTGTGATCTTAAAGAGAACGAAAATAAATATGCTCCAAGATTTCCCCAGATTGCATCTTGTGCTTATTAACCTAAGCACAAGATGAAAGAAAGTCAAGCAGAGTACAGTCCTCTTGCTAACTCAGGAGATGGAAACTATAATAAAGAAAACTTGAGATAACTGATAGTTACAGATCAAAGTATCAGAGAAAGAACTCCAGCGTATATATAAATCCTCTCTTGAATCTTTATGTAGATTTAACATCCTTAAAGACTCTAATATACTGGCAAGTAAAAACTACTGAGAAATTTAAGCTGAACAATTACTAGAGCTTCGAGTTTAGAAACACTCATGTTCTCACTAATTGCAATAGAGAATTCTTATTAAAAACCTGGAACATTGAGTAGAGGGACCCCAGAAAGACCACATTTAGAAATAAGGCTAAATTATACAAAACACAGTTGTAAAAGCTGATCTGCAAGTAACTAAACTGCTTAGTTGAAAGAAACGTAACAATCTTTAAAGAAACACAACAAAAAAATCCAGGTATTCAACCATGTAACATTCACAATGTCTAGTACCCCCTTAAAAAATTCTATGTGAAGCAGGGCGCCAGTGGCTCATGCCTGTAATCCTAGCTACTGAGAAGGCTGAGATCTGGGGATCACAGTTCAAAGCTAGCCCAGGCAGAAAAGTCCGTGAGACTCTTATCTCCAACTAACCACTAGAAAACCGGAAGTGGCACAGTGGCTCAAGTGGTAGAGCACTAGCATTGAGTTGAAGAGCTCAGGGACAGAGGTCAAGCCCCACGACCGAAGAGGAAAAAAATCTACATGAACAAGCATCAGTAGCTCACACCTATAATCCTAGCTACTGAGAAGGCTGAGATCTGAGAGTTGTGGTTCAATGCCAGCCCATGCAAGAAAGTTGGTGAGATTCTCTCCAATTAAGTGCCAAAAAAAGCTGGAAGTGGGGCTGTGGCTCAAGTAGTAGAATGCTAATGCTAGCCTTGAGCAAAGAAAGATCAGGGACAGCACTCAAACCCTAAATTCAAGCCCTAGGACCAGCACACACACACACACACACACACACACACACACACACACAAATTCTATATGTATCAAGAAGCAGGAAAACATGGATTATAGACAGGTGAAAAATCAGTCAATAGAAACAGATCTAGGTTGGTTCCATATTTTAGCTCTGGTAAATAATGCAATAAACATAGTCGTGCTGGTAGCTTTAGTGTGGTCGTGTTTGTGAACATTTGGGTAAATGCCCAACAGTGGGATTGCTGGGTCATAGGGGAGCTCTATGTGGAGTCTTTTGAGGAACCTCCATACTGCTTTCCAAAGTGGTTGAACAAGTTTACACTCCCACCAACAATGCAATAAGGTTCCCTTCTGTCCACATCCCCTCCAACATCTGTTGTTATTAGAGTTCTTGATTATAGCCATTTTCACTGGGGAGAGGTGGTATCTCAATGTTGTTTTGATTTGCATTTCTTTTATGGCTAGGGAGGTTGAGCATTTCTTCATGCGTCTATTGGCCATCCTTCTTTCCTCTTCAGAGAAGTTTCTCTTTAAGCATTATTTACCATAGCTAAGGTATGGAACCAACCCAGATGCCCCTCAGTAGATGAATGGATCAAGAAAATGTGGTATATATACACAATGGAATTCTATGCCTCCATCAGAAAGAATGACATTTCCCCATTTGTTAAGAAAGTGGTGCTGTGGCACAAGTGGTAGAGAGCTTGCCTTGAGCTGAAAGAACTGAAGGACAGCACCAAGCCCAGAGTTCAAGCCCCATGGCCGATGAAGAAAGAAAGAAAAAAAAGGAAAGGAAGAAAGAAAGAAGAAAAGAAAGAAAGAAGGAAGGAAGGAAAGAAGGGAAGAGAGAGAAAGGAAGAAAGAAAGAAAGAAAGAAAGAAAGAGAGAAAGGAAGAAAGAAAGAAAGAAAGGAAGGAAGGAAGGAAGGAAGGAAGGAAGGAAGGAAGGAAGGAAAGTGTCCAGGACTGGGAAGGTGGCTCAATGATAGAGTGCTTGCTTCGCATTCATGAGGCACTGGGCTCGATTCCTCAGCATCACATAAACAGAAAAGGCCAGAAGTGGCGCTGTGGCTCAAGTGGTAGAGCGCTGGCCTTGAGCTGAAGAGCTGAGGGACAGCGCCCAGGCCCAGAGTTCAGGTCCCACGACCGACAAAAGAAAAGAAAGAAAGAAAGAAAGTGTCCAAGTCATTGAACTCTCCCTTACCTAATTTTATGTTCTGTCTTCTTAAGCACCCCTGAGAACACAGTCACATACACACTACTCCAAATCCTTACAGCACTTGTCATCAGACATTGCAGCTTAGATAGTATCATTCCTTCCTTGTAAAGTCCACGGTGTCCTCGGCAGGGCTGTGCTAAGACAGTTCTCATTATAGACATGTCCACTAAATATGGAGATGAGGATATGTGCTGGTACACGTTGTCTGGTGAAGAGCAGATTCCAGCTCTTAATGTGGAAGGCTAAACCACAGCCTTTCTGCCATCTCAGTAGGCTCAGATAGTGGGGAATATTTGAGGTCATCCATTCATGTGACTCCTTCCCATGTGTCCTGTTTTCCTGCTGATGTTTCCAAACCAGGCCTCTGATAAAAATCTTGTTCCACTGACTTTTAACCTCTTAAGTTTTAGGTTTGTCCTGGGATTTTTTTGTCATACCACTAGAGATTTAAAAAAATAATAATTTAAGCCAG